TCGCCTCCCCTGGACCGCTGTGAAGAAAAGCGTGCACCACTGGGCATTGCTGGGCTCACCAGGCTTACGAGGGCAACTTGCAGCCGTCAGAAATCCTGTCCCTGCAAATCTGCCCTGAGTTGCGCCTTGTGTCCTGTAAAGTGAAAAGAGCTCAGACACCTGCGTGTGGTTGCCTTAAAGCCACTTTTTTTGGTTTGGGAGAGAGTGCTTGCAAAGCTTACACCTTTGGAAGCATTTACTGAGGACTTTGGATTTTGCTGTGCAAAACTCGTTTTTGAATAATAGATGCTGTGGGTAAAAAGGGATTTTGATGCCTACCTGAAATTTCATTATTGGACAGTTTTGCCTTTTTGCCCTTGAGAGTGCTAAAGTAAATGGAATTCAACTCTGAAGACTAGGATGTGAAGTGCTAAATATTAAACCTCAATTCTCCACACATACTTCAAGAGAGCCACTAGTAGTAATTTGCATGCCGTGCACCTTCATAGCTAGCTTTAGCAGACTTAGTGTAAAACTGCAGCGCTGTGCATAAAGTTCTTCAGGTTATGCAGACTGTCAGCAGTAAGTGTGGTCTGCGTGTAGAATTTTAAAAGGACCTTTAAGAAGCCGTTAAAAGGGTATTTTTAGGCTTTAGAAAGAAAAATGTGTTGAAGCGGCCTATGCATGAGAAGTAGACTGCAGCACTGATCAGGAATAGATGTAGGAGGTTTCTGTTAAGCACAGCTTCACCTGAACACAGGACTGGCCTTGGCAGAGGCAAGGCTTTGGGCAGTCTGCAGATGCCATGTGTACAGTCCTCAGAGCTGTACGCTGCCTGGAAGAGCAGAGTGAAAGTACATGCAATGGCGCACACTGCATTCTGAAAAACTACAAGAAATAACAGACAAACATTGTATTAACCTAGGTTGTTTTGTTCTTTTTTTTTTGTTGGAGACTTTTGTAAACAGCTTTTCTTTACATCTTTACTTTTCTCTGCACAGAGAAAAGATTTTTGGACGAGTCTGCTTAGGCTTAAGTTGTTGTCTGGACATTTTCATTTTATGAGCAATAGCTGGTTCATAACTACATCTCATACAGTGCTTTATGATAGTAAGTCACAAACCACTTGGTAAAATAAGAATCTTTTCATGGAGAAACTGAAGCAGGGAGGGTGAGAAGCAACTTGCAGAAAGTGGCCCGGTAAGGCAGGGCAAGCACAGCTAGGGAAGAGTGAAACCTCCTAAGTCCTCATTAATGACTGCATCCTTAGGGCACACTGGCTAACAGCCACATATTTATCCTCCCCTTTACTACCACTTTTAAAAACTGGGGATAACTGCTGCATTTTACTATGTCTTGCATGTTTGATCCCCTATTTTAATTGAGTTAATGGTGTTATATATATTGGACTAAAGGCAGAAATACCACACACAATCTATTTTTAAACGTTGGCAGTGTTACTGTTTGGTAGTTACAATAGCGCAGGCAATAACTGATAGTCCCTGTCCTTTTCTAGCCTTTTCTCTACTACTGCCAAGTAGCCCATTGCAGTCCCGTTACGTTAAGTGTCATTCTTCAATATCCAATCTTTTCTTTCAGCATATCTGCAGACAGCACTAGATGTAATTACACCCCAGTCTCACAGCTCTGTTCTTCTTAGACACATCTTCCCTCTCGGTTTTCTCCTTCCTGCAGACATTATCATGTGTACTAGTTTCTCCAAAGCATTTTCTTCTCCACCATACTCCTTTAAAGCTGATTTTTCCCTCCATTTTTGTTGAGAGGAATTTAAGTTGATGCTAGCTGGGTGGAGAGAACAGATGTGAACATAAATATTGGGTGCCGTGAGCAGCTAAGAGACTTTCTACTTTGGTATATCATCTGTTTAGTACCCGAGAGTAACTATCTGGCCACAGGCTAAAACCATTTAAGAATGGCTGAAAAACGCTCTAAGAAAGTTCCTGATTAATTAATTAAGAAGTACTTGGATTAGTTTTTTTTCTAGTCAGCTGAAATGAAAGGCTAAGAGGTTTCTCTGAAGGCAACGGGTAAATGAGTAAATGAAAGGTCAAAGTGAACAGGTAAATGAGTACAATGTAGAACGAACTGTTGCAGCTGCATGACTATTACACGGAGCCAGTCACTGTCAGCCCAACTCTCTGCTGAGCATTGCTCATAACTGAAGTCTGTGCTCCTCATTTTTTCCCACTAAAGATGCACCTTTGCTGCATCCGTCGGATGTGGTGCCACCAGCATGCCTGGAAGACTGGAAATCTGTGAGATCCATGAAATCTGTTTGGAGAGGAGGCAGAACTGAGGGGAAAGTGGAGAAATCGGAGGATGTGATTAAGAGAGAGATACAGTGAAGGTCTTTTGCTTTCACAGCGATGACTAACAAGTTAACAGCCTACAGTACCTGAGGGTTTTACAGGGAGTAGCCTCCTGAAGGTATCCCTCACGCTTTCTGCTTTTTTGCATGAGAGAACACGTTTCAGCTGGGTTTGTGACGGTGGCTCTCCCAGCCCTCTGTTCCCATCCTGTGCTCTCACCAGAGCCGTGCAGGAAAACAAGAGCTGAAGTAGAAAACAATGGCCAGACTCAAACATTAGAGAAAGACTTTCCTTTTTCTGTCAGCATGAAATGCACATACTCTGCAGTTTCTCAGACAGGAATTGAACACCTTTTGTTAATGGTGAAGGTTGCCATGAGTGGATTTGTGGGCCAGGTCGTTATGATGGGCAGGACTGTAAAACATCACAAATTCTATTGATGTGCCTCGGCTCAGCCTTGCACCAGCCCTTTACACGGCAATTGCTAGTGAGTAGCAGCGGAACACAGGCATTCTGCACCCCGCCTGACCATCTACATAGTCACAGACCATTAAAGCTGCTTTATCAGCAACAATTTGAGGGACAATAAGGATAATGCTGAAATACTTTCTGTTTTTGAAAAATGGGAGATTTTGGCTGTGGGACGGAGAGGGATGTATCTCGTCTACTCTCTCATGACTCCCTTTGCATCCAGTATCCATTTTTAGTTTGGGCCAACTACTCTCCATCTGGCCTTGAACACATCCTGACTGCAATAGCAATATTTTTTTTTCCCTTCTCCAATCCTAACTCGTGCAGTAATGGAGTCATGGGAATAGGTGGCTTCAAGTTTCCAGATGCCTCAAACTGTCCTTTTCTCAACTCCCAATGACTGAATGTTCATGATGTAAGCTGGGCACAGATCACCAAGAAACCTGTATTTTCCAGCTTGAATTTTTTCCTTTATGTATTTGCCACACAAAACTTTGCCACACATCGTCACAGGCCCAACTGACTGGGATATGCCACTGTTGTTTTGTTTGTGTTTGTCAGCGTCTACAAATTACTTTGGTGTTGAAGTTTGTGTATTATACTTTATATGTTTACATCTTCTGTCCCTGAATGTGCACTAATAAGAATCTAATGCCGTTCTTGGGGCAGGGAGTTAGTGTACAGCTTCATTTCCACCAGGACAGAGTGACTTTAGACAGACATTGCTTTGACTTTAGACAGACATTGCTCCATGATCCAGCATTGTAGCGATAACAGAAAATCAAGTGGCAAACGGCAAATGCTCTTTCTGGCAGCAGCCTAGTATATTTTCTAGGGCAGGGACTGAGCTTGAAAGC